TATTGGTTTAGAAGCAAAGGAAATTTTTTGGAATGAATTTGAAGGAATTAACGAGAGAGAGAGAAAGAGTGTGAGTTTGAATTACCTGCATGCGTCACGTCAGTATGTAATAGTGAAGCTGTTTGTTTATTTACTAAAACAGCCGATTTTTTATTTTATTTTTAATGGCTGAGAAATAGTAGCCTGGCTAATGCCAGACCACGTATCATTGAGAATGCGACATGGTCTGGAAACCACCTGTTCATTTTCTCGTATTTGAGGCATGGTTTGATCCATAGATATAAACAAACTGCTTCGGTGTCACATAGACGTCATCATCGCCTTGGCGCTCCCTCCCCATTCTTTGATTGGTTTCCTATCTCAGGGGAAAATTTGGTTTACGGTGTCCAGGTTGGCTAGCAGCGTGAATAAAAACGCACCACGGCACGGCAGCATGGGGAAACCCAGGCTAGAGAAATAGCCTAAAATGAAGCTTTCAGTAGCAAAGCTTTTTTTTATTTTGTTAAACCAGGGGCTCTGTTTTTTTTTTAATTTTATATATCGTGTTCAGATATTCAAACTTGGTGATTTGACTTGGAAATTTGGTGAAAATTATCAAAATTGCTGCCGGCGGCTGGCAACTTGCTGGCAAAAATGCTGGCGGGGAAAGAGTTACCTATATAAAGTTTTCACTTTAGTACAAAAAAAGAGGGGGGTGTAGTGAGAGCAAATAGAGGCACATCAGCTTCATTATATGACATTAAGAAGCGATTTTTGGAATCCGAGGGGAATCAGATATACATGTTTAGACTCAGGTCAGATGTCCAGGTATCGGATGTGTATCTGATTTAAAACAACATTTGAAAGTGGTTCAATGCGTAGATTTTTGTTGTACCAGTGTAAACGCAGGTTTGGTTTTACTGCACTGGCCTGTAATCCGGGGATGTTTAACACTGTTAAACATAACACATCTTTTCTGGGACCTAAAAGCACTTTGCAAGGAAGGGGGAATCTCCTCAACCACCACCACTGTGCAGCTCTACCTGGATGAGGCGACGGCAGCCATATAGCGCCAGAACGCTCACCACACACCAGCTTACAGGTGGAGAGGAGACCGAGATGAAGCCAATCAGTGTGTGTTTATGATTAGGAGGCCATGATGGACAGAGGCCACTGGGCAGATTTGGCTAGGATGCCGGGGTTACACCCCTACACTTTCGAAAGACATCCTGGGATTTTTTGAGTCAGGACCTCGTATAACATGTCATCCGAAGGACGGTGCTCTTTGACAGTATAGTGTCCCCGTCACTACACTGGGGCGTTAGGACCCACACAGACCACAGGGTGAGCGCCCCCTGCTGACCTCACTAACACTTTTTTTCAGCAGCAACCTGATTTTCTCAGGAGTCTCCCATCCACATTGTCAGAAAAAATTTGCAAAATTTGTACCTTTAGCGGTACATATTAGTACCCTAAGGTGTAAATATGACCCATTGAGGGTACAACTTCACCATTTGTACCCTAAGTGTTCACAAATGTACCCCAACTGTACCCTTTTTTCTGACAGTGCAGGTACTAACCAGGCTCAGCCCTGCTTAGCTTCAGTGACACAGCTAATCCAGTTCTCAATCACATGCTGTAGACTGACAATGAAAATGATTTGAAGGGTGAGAAGAATGATTTTCTATGGTAACTGACAGATATAATTCATTTAAACATTTGCTTACCACTTCCCTCTCTTGTTTCTGGAGGTCATAGATCACCTTCAGCTCTTCCTTCAGCTGTGTCTTCCTCTCTTCCAGCTTCTCCATGCTCTCCTGTGTGTTACGGCACAAGGCCTTGACCGTCTGAAGAGTCTCCTGTTCCATATGCACCTCATCCTTCAGACCCTGAGGATATATCTAAATCACTAAACTCATATCATTGATAACAGTCGTACTGTATGCCATCTTCTGTCACATAAGTCCTATGACTTTTTGTGCAGATTATGAGAAAAGGTTTTTCCAACTTCCTACAATTTTTCAAAAAAACTTGTGTGAACCCAAAGTCTAGCGCAAAACAAGTTACTCTTTATTTTAAGGTGTCCGTGTTACAGTGTAATTATACATGAAGTACTAAGTATTAATTAACAACATGTACTTATAGGATTAGGTTAAGGATTATGGTTCGGTTGAGGGTTAATTGCATGTAATTATGAATAATTTGTCGTTATACTGTGTATAAAGTGTAACAAGGACACTGTAAAAAAAAGTGTTACCAGAAGTTGATATTTTTTCTCTCCAAAAGGGCTGTGAAAACTGGTCTGAATTTGACATAATACTATTACAAACAGAGATTTAATGATGATTTAACTGATTTAATGATGATTTAACTGATTTAAACTTTTTAATGCATAATGCAGCTCTCGGGTTACTAGGAGAACACAAAAATAATGGTTCGATACATACCTTGATTTTAAAGTCATATTTATATATATGACTATATGAAGAGTTCAGATGCAAAAGCCTCTAAATGCCATTTGAAATTTTCTTCTTTAATGATAATTTTTATCAAACTTGTATATTTAAGTTCAGTAATTTCACTTAAATAACAATGAATAGGTAATTATCATTGCCATTTAAGTGAAATTACTGAACTTAAATATACAAGCTTGATAAAAATCATCATTAAAGAAGAAAATTTCAAATGGCATTTAGAGGCTTTTGCATCTGAACTCTTCATATACATATATATTTGTATATATATATATATATATATATATATATATAGTTAAAATATTGAATTTAGTGTTACTAATTCCATATATCATGGGATCGTCTGGCATATATAAAAAGCTTCCAGAACCCAATTTTGTTTAATTACTTATTTTAAAAATGTATGTATAACATATTTTAATGACAGTCGTGGCAATAAAATACTTAGTTTATTACGTGCACTTTTTGAATTAATTGTTATTTTACTTTAATTGAATTAATTATTATTTTACTCATCAACATAAAACAACTGTTGCTGATATATTTTGAACAAAATTAAACCCAATTGCTCAAAATATATTATTTTAGGTAACGTATTTAAATCACTACCACCCAGGTGCTTTTTACTTCAGCCGGTATCAATGTGCCATATCATATCATATGGTCATCTTTCTCAAGGGGTGTCGTGACTTTAGCCCGTTATTATGATCTCATGGTATTGCTGATCTCCAACACTAACACACGAATAAAGAAGATCTGGCAAGGAACTTTTATTTTGAGAATATTGGGATATCCCGGTTAAAAATGTAGTATAATTTCACTTTAAACGCCATGCAAAACAAACAGAGAATGGCTCTACACCGTCAGTGTGTGCGCTGATAGATGCGCGTCGTTACAGACGCAGAAAAGCACTAAGTGTCAGTGAATTAGTGCTCATCAGTGCAGTCTACCTACAGTGTCTGTGTATAGAGCAGAAAAATAACACACTACCTTGATTTCGTTATCTTCAGGAGAGTCTATACCCTGAGCCTGAAGCTCCGTGTCCCTGAAACAATAAATCACGTAATCAAACTGAAAAGCCAATACTTCCGCAATACGATTTAAGCGCATATAAACACAAGATCACTGCAGACATACGTTCAAAATTATGCAATCCATACGTAGGCTATGATGTCAGGGTGATGAATCACAGTGCATGCACACATTATGGCAGTGTTATTTCAGTGCATAATAGCCAAACCTCGACGTGCAAGGTGATGCATTTTGAAGGATGACGCATTTTAAGACTAACTAAGACTGCGTGCAGCTGCCTACATGTAAAAAGATAAGGATCATGCGCTCGCGTACCTGGCAGCGGCTGCAGCGCGCGCTCGTGCCGGCCGCAGGCAGTCTAGGATAAAGCGCATCATATTCATACGCGACACATCATCTGCAGCACACACGTCACACGAGCGGGTTAATAGCTTTGGAAATATTGTTTCGACTCTGTATGATTTGCATGCTGTCAAATAAAGACGCGTGAATGAGATGTTCTCCTTGAATCGCTGTCCGCTCTCCTTCATCTGCGGCGGGGATCACGTGACCGCGGGCTCTGCACGAGACAGACGATGCGAGCCAGAACCGACCGGCCCCATATGGCACGTGTCCACTGGCGTAGAAGAACCCCGCTGAACACACACACACACACACACACACACACACACAACAACTAGTGTGCTGCCACTGTGGGGGCGTGTCTGTTAAACAGCAAGAGTGTTCACTACACCATAAATGATGTAGTTATAGCCTGTAGAAGTTTAAATAAAGTCTGAGATCTGTAGAGTTACAGTGTCTCAGACACTATGGGCAGAAAATGAAATGTACAAGTAGGCTACAAACCCGTGCTTGGACACCAAAATATAATTTAATTATGCAAAGTGCTTTTAATTATGGTAGTAGTTTAAAGGTAGGGTAGGCATTTTTTTATAAACACTTCTTGATAGATTGGAACTCTCTACATATCCTGACGGCAGCAACATCAACAATAGAAGTGGTCTAAATATTAAAGGTGCAGTGTGTAAATCTTTTCAGCATCTAGTGGTGAGGTTGCGAATTGCAACCAACCGAAGGTACGGTGTCCGACAGGAAAATATTGTCATTGTCTGAGACAGCAGAGTCAGTCACTTAAGCAATGAGGTTTCATTCTTTACAAAGAAAAAATAAGAAATGATGTTCTTAGTTATTCAGAAAATGTTGTTATTCGCTGAGTTTAGAAATTTGACAATTGTTTGATTGAATTTATCTTTATCATTGATGTTTCCTGCACAGAATATCTGAATATGAACAGATGCACATGATATTTGAGAGCTGTCATGTAGAAGAACATTTTCGACTTCTTTTCAGTGACCGTTATGATATTTCAGCACAAAATCACTCTAATAATTATTGTGTTAGGTGCTTATTTATGTTAATCAACCCGTATGATTCACAAAACTCGACAAAAACATGTATTTATTTACAGTTTGCTGGAAAATGACTCCCTATTTATTTGTTTGTTATGAATATGAATAAATGTGTGGATGTTTTATTTTGTCATTTCTGTAGCTTTGACATTCAAAAAAGTTGTGAGTTGAAAAGAACAAACATGTGTCTTAATATTGTTTCTTAATATTTCATTACAGCAGCTTTGAGTTTAAATTCTTCACTAATACTAAACTTGTCAAACTGATACTCACTCAAACACACGCACACACACACAGTGTGAGGATCTTCAACCAAAACTCAACTAAATCTTCTCAATATTCTTTTTCTATTCTATTCTAGTTTTTTATGTAAATACATTACTGGGGAGATAAAAAAAAATAAACAATACTTTCTAAAAAAAATATGTATATCACCGAGAAGGTTTATATGTTTCTATATTTTCTGAAGCAGTGACGTAGGCAGTCAGACATGTCGTTGAGGTGTTTGGCTCTGTCCGGCCCGAGGATCTGGCTGTGTTCCCGCTTTACATCTAGAAGAGAAGGATTGTCAGGTACTCATAATTAGCATGTTGTTCGATGTTCCGTCACCTGGTGTAACATTTAAACATTTAAAAGTGTATCTATATTAGCAATATAGTGGTTGACCATTTTATGCATATTTATTTTAAAATATATATTTTTGTTGAATGGTGGGGATTTCAGCTACAAACTGTTTATGTGTGCATAAAAACATGTAAGCATTTTATGATTGTGTTTACCACTGTCTGAGGCTTCTTCCTTTATCTCACACTCTTTCCTCCTGTCTTGTGGAATGACGTCCCGTGTGTGGTTCACAAAGTCCTGTAGGGGGCAGCGCTGGGAACATCCCGGTAAAGACACAGCGTACGGCTCAAGCACAGTGCTGTCATTGCGATAAAACATCTCCACTGAAAACGTCCTGAAAGAGAAGATATTTTAGTTGACCAAAGACGTCTTAGGCCGTGTGTCCACCAAAGAGGTATTTCACGCAGCTGGCATATTTTTCCAATGCCATGAGCGTAACAAGGCGCTGAGCTTTTTTTTTTTCATGCTGAGCGAGAGTAGAAAAATGTTAAACTTTGGGTAAAACGAAGCACTCATCACTGTCACTTTTTACCCAACCGTCCAATCACAGTGGATGAGGGGCGGGGGTAATATCACACCGACCAACCACCACATTCTGCTTGTTCAACGTCAATAAATGACAACAACAAGCATAATAAAGGAACAAAATAATTCAAAACAAGAGCCAGAGAAAATACGTTACATTGTATCGACATTTTAATATAGAATCATCACAGAAACTAGATTGAATGTGTGAAATGAGATGCTAGTAACACTTTCGCGGATATTCCGCAACTTAAAAGAAAAAGCTGCACTGCCAAAACGCTCTCAAGTGCCCACAGCTAGGTGTTTTCAGCTAGCTAAAATGCTTTGGTGGACACATGGCCTTAAAGGGGTGGTATAATGCCCCTTTTTACAAGATGTAAAATAAGTCTCTGATGTCTCCAGAGTATGTATGTGAAGTTTTAGCTCAAAATAAAAATACCCCACAGATATTTTTTTTACAGCATGTTAAAAACGGGTCGTTTTGTGTGTGTCCCTTTAAATGCAAATGAGCTGCTGTTCCGGCACAGAGGGCGGAGCTACAAGAGCTTGTGTGTGTGTGTGTGTGTGTGTGTTAGCAGCTCCGATTACCTCACACACACGCACTCAAATGTCAGAAACTGTTCTGCGTTTATAATGTTTAAACCGGAGTCAGACAATAATGGAGAGACTCAAGAAGAAGTGACAACATGTAGAGTTAAATATCTTCAATTAGCATAAATCTCTCATGTGGGAACAGTTGTAAGATGCTACAGAGTGACATGCTATTGCATTTGTGTTACGTAGTGTATTGCATGTGGGGTTATGTCAATTTTAGGGTTGGTAATGTCACTAACCCATGAAGAAGCTCATTGTAGTCCAGATCAGCCGTTTGTTGTAGTCCTTAAAAAACGATTCCTTTAAAAGCGAATCTCTGCCTTTAATTTGAACTTTGAGCGTTGTAACTTTGCAGATGTTGTTTATGCTCAAACAGCAACACTACACACTAACTAACATTAGAACAGTGAAATCATGATCAACACCCCTTTAAGAAGCCCAAGTTTAGGATATGTTACCCGTTCTCTTCCTGGTGAAGTTCGATTAGATGACACGAGGCGTAAGGCGGCTGCAGGCCATTAAACACACCCAGGGCTTCTTGTAGAGCTACAATAGTTGTGTCATGCTAGAGTTACAGGGGAAACATTACATGAACTGCTTTCTCTAAACAGAACACACTTCATCAGACTGGAAAAGGGAAGTTTAGGAGTTTGATTCAGTGTGACACGTGACTTACAGCCGAGTATACCATCATCTTCAGTTGTTGTTTGGTGTCTGGAGCTGCTGCGGTTAAGAAACTCTGAATGATCTGATTTAACAGCAAACCTGCGAATGAGAACGTAAGAAAAGTGTCACATGATCACTGAACTGCACATTTTCTGAATGTTGTCATTGTTGAGCTGTAAACATATATTGAGATGGTTCTTGGTACTTATACCGCAAATACATATTCTTAAGGACATCAAAACCCAAAATTAAACTTGAGAAAGTTGTACAATATGGGACCTTTAATTAAAATTGACTGGAAAATAAGAAGCTCTGCCCAGGGATGAGCGCTCACCTCCCTGAAGTCTGCACTTCTCCTTACTCTTATAGACTCCAAACATAATCTGATAAGAAAAGTCCTTCAGCACCTTCAGTTTTTCCATCACATCTTTATTCACCCAGTCCGGTGGTGGCAACTTCTTATGGTTTTTCTTGGTAAGGAGAATAACAGAACTGATCTGACACAATTCATTGAGTCTGTCTGAGCATTTACCAGTAATGGATTCTGAGCATCTATAGATAAGTCTGAAATAAAATGATGGAACATTCAGAAAGTGTAAAGAGTGCTCAATATCACAAGAGTCTACACACACACACACAGAGAGAGAGGGAAATTTTGTTTCAGAAGTATTTTTCCTCATTCACTTTTCCCATTACGATTTTAGAACAAATTTCAAATTCTTTAGTAATTTTGTGATTCACCTCATAATTGGTTCGTTTGGTTAAAGGAGTAGTTCACTTACAAAAAAACTTTTGCTGATGATTTACTCTCCCCCATGTCATCCAAGATGTCCATGTCTTTCTTTTTTCAGTCGAAAAGAAATGAAGGTTTTCAATGAAAACATTCCAGGATTTTCTCCATTTAATGGACTTCAATGGGGTCCAAACAGTTCAAGGTCCAAATGAGAGTTTCAGTGCAAACTGTTCAAGGCAAACATTTGAGCTTATAAAACTTAAACTTTGTTATTTATTTATTAAATGAGCGATCTTTTCGCTAGATAAGACCCTTATTCATCGTCTGGAGTCGTTTAAAGCCCTTTGAACAGTTTGCACTGAAACTCTCATTTGGACCTTGAACCGTTTGGACCCCATTGAAGTCCATTATATGGAGAAAAATCCTGGAATGTTTTCATCAAAAACCTTCATTTCTTTTCGACTGAAGAAAGAAAGACATGGACATCTTGGATGACATATTGCAAAATATGCACAAGTAGTTTGAGAGTGTATGAAGACTGACAAATGCTCATGAGAATAAGTGGGCTCTGAAGAGATTTTTTTGTGTGATTTGGTTGTCACAAATCTCTAGATTTCTTCAAAGAATTTAGTTTACCATGTTAAACTCTGTTTATAAAAAAGTAAATAATGTGGGCTGATGGATTCAACAAAAGCAAATGTCAGTCATCAATTAACAACCTCACAGCTGACCGTACCTCAGTCGTTAAAGCTTTATAAAGTTAATGTTAAAATTGAGAAAATTTCCATTTTTACTTTTTAGAAATCTAATGTTGCACTTAATGAGATAAAAAAAAGAATAATGTGCACAATGAATGAAACTCACCTCACAGAACAACGTGTCATAGACGATCCAAACAGAATCAACGGTAGCTGTCTTCAGTCCAGTTTTATTTCTCACCATTTCTAGAAATTCCTGCATAAAACACTCTAAGATAACCATGATGTTTTTTATTTTATTTGCACATTTACATTGCAAGATAAGGAACATACCAACATTGTAAAGCACACTTCCTAACATGAAGCAAGTCATGAAATCTATAGACTCGTGACAAGGACAGCAGTAAATAGCCAAATGAAATAGCCAATATGTAGCGTTCAGAAGTCGATTTTTCCGTCATTGACAATTTTTTTAGCAGCAACTAAACAATCTGAAAGCCGTCATCATTGTGACAGATTCTGATTGTATAATTTTGTAATTCTCCATCAAGTTAATGGTCAACAGACACACAGTCTCTGTTAATATTTCTCTTCATAAATAAAAAACGGCTGTAGCTTTGTGAATAAAAATTAAAATGTGAACAAAAACAGAGCCGATTAAGTGGCTTATTATCATTAAAATATATACAAAATTAAATTATGGGTAATAGATCATGACGGAATTTTTAAGACCCGATGCAGAAGTCTAATGCGACCTCTGGTAGTTATAAGGTTATTTATAATTATTAACCATCAGAGTCTGATGCTCCTCCCTCACTATGTAATTTAGGGTATGCTTACACAACAACGATATGCTTAAAATGGAATGCTTTTCCTTGAGCTTTCCGTGTATAGACGACGCCATTGTCAAAACGATCCCCATTCACATGGGTTTGCAAAAAAACGACTAAAAACGCGGTATTCTGCTGTATTCAGCGTACGCGGCGAAGGAGCAGATCTGTGCCTTACTTTTGCGTTTTTACCAAGCAGCAACATTCTAATCTGAAAAGTGAAGCCTACCCGAAAGTGCGAAAAACTGCAATACATGTAAACTCCACTAGGGGCAGGTCCCAAAAGGGAGCAAATGCCCATAGACCCCCATGTTAAAACAGCACATTTTCACAGCATAAATTCATGTTTTTACAGGTTGGTCACATGGACTTTTATTGTATTTTTTGATAGGTTCCGAGTGCCTGACAACAGTGCAGTGAATTTTTTTCTTACTCAAATATTTTTTTTCTAAATGTATGACAGATAAAGGTGTGGTTAACTTTGATTGACAGCTGATAATGGGCTGCACTGAGTGAAATTGCTGAAATTCCTACAATTCCTGACACATACCACCTCTGTATCCTTTCTGAAAAGATTTTCCAAGGTGTCGCGTCCATACGCCCCATAAATGGCGTTTTACCCTTTAAACGGGAATGCGGCGGTGGAGCGTTTTTAAGATTTCCTCTCTGGAGGGTGGTTTCACTTTTTTACAACGCTGTCGGCGTGTAAACGAAAGGCACATCCGATAAAATATTTTTACTCTTTCACCCGGAAACGTTCTCGTGTAAACAGGGAGTGTGTTCAACATTCCACACTTTGTTTTTCAGTTGATTAAGTGCATCATCAGGGTGTAATTAGTAGAAGTATCCAAAAAAGTATCCAATTAGTATAAGTTTTCTGCTTTTCACCTTTGATTTTTAAAGCATTTGAAATATTTTTGCAAAGTAATAATTTTTTTTTTAATAAAATAAAGGAGGGTTGAATGTGATATTTCCCCAACCAAATTTCCAAAGTCTTAAAAAATCTTATAAAACTATGGAAAGGATGTTACAGTGGAAGCCAATTAAACATCCACTCAAAATTTAGTGGTAAAAAGCACAACATTAAAAAAGTGTTCAAGTATTTCAGGAAAGGAAGAACAGAAGAGGTTTACAAGGTTATGTCTTAAACTTAAAATCTCTTTAAAAATTCTCCTTATGCTGTTCATGAGCCAAACTGAACCTCCTCTGGACATCACTATTTAAAACCAATTCAGAAAACTTTAGGATACATTTTGTGCTGCACTATATTATAATTGCTGTAAAAACATCACAGTAAAGTCCATAGACAGACGGTCTGCTGTTATAAATGGGTTTTAGCAAGGTGGACTCACCTTGTAAGTGACAGTCATGTTAATAAAAGGCTCTGATTTTTTAGTCTCGTTCATGAGCTGTGTGTAACGTGGACAGTCTCTCAGCGGGTATGAGAGCAGCTGGAAGACAAAAAAAACAAAGACAGACACTTTAGGCAGGACAGCAACATAGTGTCGGCCCACGTCTGGTACATGCGGATTTCACACGGCTCAGATGTGGGCCGGATTCAGGCCGACATTTTTTTGCTGTCTGGTTTGCATGGAAACAGATTTCAGCTATCCAGAGATATTTACCGATGCTGCTGCTATGCATATATTAAATTAAAGCTACAATATGTAGGATTTTTGCAGTAAGATATCCAAAAACCACTAGGCCAATGTTATACGTTTTGTTTAGTTGATTACTTACAATATCCCACATGTTTCCAACTATTTGTAAATCGTGAGAAAATTGCGATTTTAACCCAGGCAACGGGGTGTGTGAGCAGGGGGGAGGAGTCGCCAGTCAATGGCGTCATATACGTGCTACCCTCGATTTCCACCATTGACACGTCATGGTAACCATGGCAACAACTGGGTTATGTTGTTGTTTTGTTCAAACATTATGGACCATGGCAAGGAGACTTTAAGACAAAAAGACTAATACGAAGATCAACATCTTTGGAGATGTCGAGAGCTCCACGTCCGCGACTAACTTCCACTCGACAGAGACGGGAGTGTTGCATGTACTTTATTAGACAGGTGAGAAAATGTACATAAAACTAATCCATGTTGTTTAGTTCAACATGATGAAATTTTAGAATATGATCTGTATGTTATTCTAATGTTGATCTAGCTTACTTAATCTCATACAGCCGACACACAACCTAACTAACAACATTCAACACACTCAAATGCAGTTTAGTGTGATAGTGAAACTGTTATGGTGCGTTCACACCGGACGTGAATAGCGCGTCAGGCGCGAATCATTTCAATGTTAAGTCAATGCAAAGACGCGTTACGCGCTGTGGCACGGGGGGCGTGGTTCAGGGTGTCTGCTGCGAAAGAGCGAGGGAGAAGCCGAGCGGGAAGTAAGTGGGTCAAGTTCAAATGATGAACACCTGTTTGTGATTTTAGTGATTGGCCTGAGGAGAGCGCGTTTAAGCGGGCCAAGTGGACAGAGTGGGGAGAGAGACCTTTGGAGCTTGTGTGTGTCTGTGTGCAGAGAATGTGAGTTTATCCGTGGCCGTGATCAAGAAAGCTGTGATCAGCGGGAAGAGTGTGACGCCGGGGAACCGGAGAGAGCTGTGTACAGCGGGAAAGAGTTTTGACCTGCAGAGACTGTTTATTTTGAGTTTATTGTGAAGAGCGCAGAGGCGCCGTGGAAAGAGTGATTGAAAATAAAGCACACAAGCTCCAGTATTCGCCGACCCCTTGTCTTCTTCCATCACCCACACTGAACCTCATCACACTGGTGCCGAAACCCGGGATGGAAGGAGAGGCCGCCGCCAAAAATCCTCTGCCGGCAGCGGTTCCGGTCCCTCGAGTTGGGGGAGGCCGGCCGACCCTTCGTCTTTGCGCAGCAGCTCCGGGACGCCTGCCGCAGATGGCTGATGGCCGAGGACCGCGACGTCAACGGAGTCATCGAGCTGGTGGTGCTGGAGCAGTTCATCGCGAAACTCCCGAAGAAGACCGCGCAGTGGGTCCAGTGCCACCGGCTGAGGTCGCTGGACCAGGCCATCCAGTTGGCAGAGGATCAGCTGGCACCTCCGGCTCCCGCTCATTCTGGGGACAAATTTTCCGGGGTTTCAGTCTTTATTGGCATATTTATGTGCGGGTGCTCCTGAGCGAAAACAAAGGCGCCGGAGGAGGGCGACTGTTCAGGCTGGCGAAGCTGTACCAGGACCATCGGTGGCTGTTTCAGAGGAACCTAGTGCGTCCAAGAAGACAATCTTCTCCGACCGCGATGACTTTCCTCTAGAACAGTCCCGAGATGACACGTTCAAAAATGCGTTTGAGCAGGTCCGTGTCATCGATGGACAGCAGGTTCGGCAAGACCAGCCGCTCTCGTATCCCTATTTTGCCATGATTAAAGACAGGTTGTATCGGGTGACTCAGGACACCCAGACAAAACAAGATACAACACAATTATTAGTCCCCAAATTGATAAGACAGCAGTGGTTGCGACCTGTCTGAGACCCAAGACCAAAATGGAGGTTAGTCAGTTCCTGGGGCTAGCAGGATATTTTAGGAGGTTTGTACCTAATTATTCGGACCTTGCTAGCCCGCTGACTGATCTGACTAAAAAGGAAGCACCGGATACCGTCCAGTAGACGGAGCGGTGTCAACAGGCCTTCACCCAGATAAAGGCTGCTCTGTGTGGCGGCCCGCTGTTGCAGGCTCCTAACTTCTCTCTCCCTTTCTCTCTGCAGACAGACGTGTCGGACAGGGGGTTGGATGCGGTCTTGACCCAGGAGAGGGAGGGTGAGGAGCGGCCGGTGCTGTACATCAGTCGGAAGCTCTCTAAGAGAGAGACGATGTACAGCACCATTGAAAATGAAAGCATTAGCCATCAAGTGGGCCATTCTCACTCTCTCTACTATCTCCTGGGTCGAGAGTTCACTCTCTGAACCGATCACGCTCCCCTGCAGTGGCTCCACCGCATGAAGGATGCCAACGCACAGATCACCCATTGGTATCTGGCTTTACAACCCTTAAATTAAAGGTGATCCACAGGCCGGGTGCACAGATGGTTGTGGCGGACTTTCTCTCCCGAAGGGAGGGGGGGAGGCTGCAGGCTGGATGGCTCCCCGGCCTGAGTCGGGCGGTGGGGGTATGTGGCCCGGGGGGCGTTGTTCAGCGGTGTCTGCTGCGAGAGAGCGAGGGAGAAGCCGAGCGGGAAGTAAGTGGGTCAAGTTCAAATGATGAACACATGTTTGTGATTTTAGTGATTGGCCTGAGGAGAGCGCATTTAAGCGGGCCAGGTGGACAGAGTGGGGAGAGAGACCTTGGAGCTTGTGTGTGTCTGTGTGCAGAGAATCTGAGTTTATCCGTGGCCGTGACTAAGAAAGCTGTGATCAGCGGGAAGAGTGTGACACCGGGGAACCGGAGAAAGCTGTGTACAGCGGGAAAGAGTTTTGATCTGCAGTGACTGTTTATTTTGAGTTTATTGTGAAGAGCGCTGAGGCGCCATGGAAAGAGTGATTGAAAATAAAGCACACAAGCTCCAGTATTCGCCGACCCCTTGTCTTCTTCCATCACCCACACTGAACCTCGTCACACACGCGTAAAAAATTCCTGCAGCGCGAATGAGGCATAGAGTGCGGCGCAGTAGACGCGAATACGCCTCATTCGCGCATCAAGTTCGCACGAATGGCGCGAATTGAGCGTCTGCCGCGTTAAGTGTGTTACACGCAAATGATTTAGTTAGTGCTATTTGTGCATTCACACATTTGACGCGAATTCACGCCTGTTCATTTTGTATTGAATGTTATTTATTCCATATCTAGATTATAGGAATTATTATTATGATGTAAAGACAACCAACATACATGTGCATAAGTTCGTGCTGGACGTGAGAGAGAAAAAAAAATCACACTCACAATAACTTTTGGAGTCTGGCTCTATTTATCATCAAAACAAAAATAAAATTACAGATTAGATGATTAGATGGATGAGGGCGAGGGTGATCCTCATTGCGATGCAGGACAAGAGATCATCAAACTCGGCGCGGGACAAGCAGAAGTAGCGCTGACAGCGGCCATCATCCAGCTCGTGCATATGGTGAAACTCGCCAAACGGTTCACCTCCGAAGGGTCCGGTGGACACAAATACAGCGACGATGATCTCCCACGCCGCTTTTCTGCTCTCCAAAGCAAATACAGAGCGGTGACTCTCTCGATGAATACTCGATCAACATAATAAAAATGGCCGCCAAAGGATTTCGATTCTGACGCACCGGACGTGAATAGCGCGTCAAATTCGCGTCTAGTTTGACGCTTGACCACTTTGTGTTAATTCGCGCGTCAAGAGTGAAACTGACACGTGTAAAAACAAAAGTTTGAAGCAAAATTTACGTGCGTCAGTTTCACTCTTGACACGCAAATTAACACTGAGTGGTCAAGCGTCAAACTAGACGCGGTAGACGCAAATTTGATGCGCTATTCACGTCCGGTGTGAACACACAGTTAGAGCAAGTGAAGCAGCGCTGCGTTACCTCAAGTTTAATCCGTCTAATAAACTGACCTGTGTGAGTATTAATCCAGCACTTGCATTTAGTTCAGGAATGAAATGTCCTTATTCCTTTATATCTGCGGGACTCGCGTTGCGTGTGGCGCTGGTATACGTCTAGCACTCGTGCCCGCTTCATACTACGGTCATGTTAAAAACATCAATGTATTCACTCATCCACAAAAGATCCATCAGCTTGACGACAATATCCATAATTCAGCTTAATGCTTTGCGTCATCAATATACGCCTTTGTTATTGTAAGAGGTTAGCGACCCCTGGTGGCGAAAAATCCTACATATTGTACCTTTAACACTAAGAGACCAGGGCTAAGTTTCAGAGCTGCAATTTTGTGGAGAGAAAAGGTGGGAACAGAGCTTCAGTGTGACGTCTTACACAGTCTTTAGCCTCTGGGACTGTGTGAACTGGTATCGGCTGCCAATTCAAAGATGCATTAAACTTTTCAGAACTGTTTGGTGGGAACATGCCAGCCAGATTCGCTTGGGCACTCATCAGAGTCCGGTCCAGATCTGTACTTCTGATGAATATCTGCAACATAAAGATGGCATTCGCTATTTAAACATTTGCAAGTCTGACAACTTTGTGTATCCATTTATTGAACAGAAATGTAAAGAAAGAGTGACCTCATGATGGTTATAGTCCTCACTTAGGAATCCTCTGTAGCGTTTCTTTAAAAACTGACCTAGTTCATAGTGCTGCTGCATTCCCTCCTGGAAGATCGAGTAACAGTAGTTAAAACACCCTCCTCTTAATGAACTCTATAGCCTACTTGAAGTACATTCGGTAGCTTCAACAGATACTGTACACGAGGCTGAATCCAGCTTATCTTTAATAATCTTTAAAGCCCTTGCACACTGAGTCAGAAATTTTCGTATGTGTTTTTTCGTATTTGTAATTTGGTGGCTCTGAATTGTCAAAAAAAAAAAACACCATCCAAACGGCTTGCTAGGATGCGAAAAACGCAGAAAATCGAACCCGATCCGAATTTTTTTATGACGGACGAAAGTTGCGGAGGCAGTGTGCAAACGGGATTTGACATAACGTGAGGTCGTACTTATTTTTTAACGTGCTAAAATTTCGGATACAAATTTCGGACTCAGTGTGCAAAGGCCTGAAAGGATAAAATGAATGGGCTGTGACTTTCAGAACCCGACTGTTGCGCTCTATATAGCCTCTTGCACGTTACATTACTAAATGCTCCTCATGTAACTGATTACTGTAAAACAACTGCATACTTTAGAGAGCTGTCCAAAACCCTGGGGCCAGTCGCTCTCCTTGTAGGGATCAGTTGGATAGGCATCGATTGGAGATCTGTCGCCATGGCGATAGAGCTGAGAGAGGAAAAACGGTTCATTACGCGAAGCTTTTAACACAATGCACATTAGCGACATCTGGTGGTCAGACTTGTCTTCTCCACCATTTGATTTAAATCAACAAAACTAAAACAGTGAATGTGAAGTGATTATTTGAATTGATTTCATATTATTTCTGAAGGAAAAAAGAAAGACAAGTGTAAAAGTTTATTGAACATATTTTGAGATTGAGACATTTATTTATTTACTGTGTGTGTGTGTGTGTTATTAAAGTGTATCAAAAAGTAATTAAATGTAATCAGTTAGATTACTTTAATAAAGTAATTGAAATAGACAATTACATTTTAAATAGGGCAACTTGTAATTGGTAGACTATTTAATAATTACATCTCCAAAGAAACCTTCCCAACACTGGACATGTGGGGTCACTGGGATGTGGTTTTTGTTTGCAGAAACAAGATAACGATCAAAAACACACAACAAAAGTGGTCCCGAAATGGTTGGCGGAGAAAAATGTCAATGTTTTGGAGTGGCTTTCTTTTGTCACCTTTTTGTGTCAATTCCAGCTAGAAGATGCCTAAAAATTCATCATAATTAAACATTTGGCATGGTTATGAATCATTTTGAGATTTAGCATTACAGTAGAAACTACATTGGAAAAAAAGACACTCATTTCATATTCACACCGGAGACATATTTGTTATGCATTAAAATACGAAAACGCATAATAGGAAGTCAGAATTTGTCTGTTGTTCTTAAATTGCAACGCATTTTTTTTACACTAACAGTTTTGTCAAACCAGCTGCAGCCTACATTTACTCAACACACACTAATCTGGCAGATATCTGGACAGATGAATAATACTCACCACAGTGACAAACTTGAGCATCCTCTGTCCATTGGAAAGACTGAAAGCAAAGACAAGCATGAATATCAGAAAACAGGAATCCATACTTCTGGACAGGCAGCTTAGGTAACGTTAGAGTAGTAACTTCATTGAACGGTGCTTGGCTGATCGGGCAAACAGAGCAAGACCGGTTAAAGGAGAGCTCTCATTGGTCAACACTATAAAAACAAGTAACGTGATTGGCTGTCTTGGAAGAGAGAAGGACTTCGGAATAAATCACAAACAAAAGTTGTCTTTTGATAAGATAACTGTAAACCGCAAATGTGGGTCATGTTTAATCTGGCATCCAAGACCAGTCTTAATTAAAGGGCCATGAACTGATTTGTACAGGCTGCACATCACTGGAAACACTAAAAGCACTCATAACTTAACCAACAAGTGGAAATTGGTTATTTTTGTGTTTTTCGGAGCAATTGCTGGTTAAAAATGAAAAGTCGAAGCAACGTCACAGAATGTGAGGTAGAAGGAAGCGTGCTTTCGGAGTGTGTGATTGGCTCTGCATCAGCAGCCCAAGCTAATCTCTGCATTTATTCATGAGAAATGGTTCTTTTAACCCAATCACTGCGCTGTATTACGCATGAGATCAATTACAGCAGAGAATTCAAACAACATGCCGTTTTGGTTCTGTTCAAACGTGAGTGCAAATTTGGACAGTTGGTGGCGCTAGAGAGATTGAATTAGAGACTCAAATTTGCTATGGTGACAGTGCCAAATATCACAACTTTTTACCATACAGTTCTATGGGCTGCCATAGACTCAAGAGTGGAAGAAGCTAGGCTAACGTTCGAGCAACTGCAAAAATGAGTAAATAAAGATTGAAGAGTAAATAAAGCTTTGAAAACCCTTGAATACAATTTAAGGTTGTTAAAGAGATATAATTGCTTATAATAGTATTTCATCACACTGCCCCCAAACATTTTGAGTACCTCCAGGGCATGGTGCCCTTTTTTTTTTTTTTGTCATTTTGTAATTAAAATGACGGCCATGTTTTTAGGAATCTACGGAGAAGACTCCCATGAAAATAAGTCAACCAAATCCAAAGTTAAAAGCTTGTGAATATTAGATTTTACCACTAGGTGGCGCTGGCTCGAGACTTACCAAGTTTCGTAACGATACAATACATTCATAAAAAACAGCAATTCACTACAATATTCAAAATGGCCGATATGAGAAAATTGGATATCGCTCGAATCTGCATGCTGCACCGAATCTCACCAGACCAAACCATTCAGAAGTTATAAGCCAAAAATTTGCATTTTTCTTCTCCGGACCAGTAGGTGGCGCTGCACCGAAACGCATCATGTCATGCTTATGATGATGTACCAAACTTGGTCAGAATATAATAAAGTGTTGCTGAGATACAGCCTTGCCTCTATTTTTGCAAACACTATATTAGTCTGTGCCTTATTCAATAACAATTTGACGAATCAACTTGAATTTTATAACATTTTGTTGGCATGGTCTGAAGATGATGTGGTTCAATTTTCATGGAAATTGGACAAACCGTCTATAGGGGGAATTTGAAAACTAGGTTTTTAGTGACAGAGAATTACGTCATCGGCTCGTCATGATATCTATTCTCAGTTTTCAACAATGAATATGTTGCTCACGGTTTGATCATGAATGAATAAACAAATGGCAACAAATATTTTCCCAGCATATATTGAATTATTTACACAGTATGACCATCCCATTACATCAAATGATCACAAAGTAAATAGTCAAAATCCCAAAAAATGGTGTGGGTGTTTGACTATGAAATGTCCAATAAAGACGAGCCTTCTTATCTGTTGATGGATCGATGAAATGATGTAATATGGGCTTTTGTTGGTGTAGTCCTCTGAATAAAGTCCTTGGGTAGTTGCAATACAAGCAAACTCCAAAGTCTCCACTTCACAAGGCAGAATAAGTTTAGTGTAAAATCCTCGACAAAAGAAAGCAACCACTTAACTTTCTTTTACAAACCAAACAAACATAGCACACAAAACATTCAAATAAGTAGCCTAATCTTCCCCAAAGAACAAACTTCACAAAAGCATACACAAAAGCAAAAAATGGTTTAGAAAGCAACTTGGCTGGTTCAGATTACACGATTTTTTTGTCTGAAAAGCTGTGTAAACACACAGATTATAGCCTAAACTAACTCTAAGAAACAGTGATAAATGGACCTCTTAACCTTTACTCAGAAGAAATCCGACGCAACTTTGAGGGACCAAAAGAAACGTGATTATGTATTTCTGCTCAGCAATACTGGAACGCTAACATCATTTCATATAGCCTACTGTCTACTTTCTAGCCCATATAAAACGGATCTATCTAATAGCGTATTATAGTGTTGTTGAATATAATGTAATGCAATGGGGAATATGTGTGTGCATGTGCTGATAATGCCAGATGTCTGATTTTACCAGTAAAAGTGTCCGACATTTTAAGTATCTCTAGCAGTGACAGCACAAGCATATTCCTCTTCAATAATTCAGTAGCCTATTTCAGCTTCAGAATCATGAATATTGTTATTCTGGTGTGTCTATTGTCCTGTGCTTTTGGTTTCAGCACTGAGTCCAAGATATTAATTTACACACACACACAATAACGTCCTCTAACCGCGTGTGTTCGTCTACCAGAATGGGACGCAGTGAAAGACGATGTGTGTGTGTGTTTGCTGCACACCTGCGCCCTGCTGTCACACACACCTGAACGCCAGCTGTGCCTCGTCATCACAAGACCTTCATCTCGAGATCGCATCATCCTCGTATTCGCAATTACTGCAAACACCTTTATTTAAAATTAAGAACATGCCAAGATACACACACACACACACACACACACACACACACACACCCGTCAAAATTAAGATTGTTTAATGTTTCTGAAAGAGTCTCTTGCTCATCAAAGCTGTGTTTATTTGATCAAAAAAACAGTAGAAATAGTGAAATATTATTTTATCATCTGTTTTCTATGTGAATATACAGTAAAGTGTAATTTATATTATAATTATGTTTTGTGTAATTCATATTAGAGTGATTTCTGAAGGATCATGTGACACTGAAGACTGGAGTAATAATACGTGATAAAGTACAGGTGTCATCCTGACAGTGACACCGGTGAGTGGCGTGCGGGTGCACGCGCTCAGGTGTGTTTCTCAGGCAGGTGTGAGTCGCGTGGCTTCATCATATGCAGCTGTATGAAGGTGTCGGTGTTCAGTCTCTGCTTGTGTTTAAATAATCCCCCGCTGGTTCACTCGGAGGCGTGAGCACGTGAGTTATAAAGACACGCCCCCTCTATAATCTATAGACATTAAAGGAGCATTTCACCCATTGCAACATTAATCTTTATTGAAAGTGGATCATATTTGTATTTGAAATGTAAAAGAATTTTTTAATTTGGTGCCCTCTTGACCGAGAAAAGACAAGGGGCGCCTATATATGAAAAAACTACATGTCCCACAATGCACAGCTCCACAAGCCACACCCACTAATCCGGAACAGCCAGTCTATGGGAACAGCGGCGCAAACAGAGAATTCACTCTTCCGTCTACAAGGCTAACATTAGCTGTCACCGGAGTTTGAAATTCATTTCACACAAAATGTCTAGTTGTAAGAGTCGCTGTTTGTCCATCACTTCCTGTGAAGGGAGTTGATTTCATTCTAGGAAATGATTTAGCAGGTGGTAAGGTAATGTCTGTGATCGAAGTAATGGAAGAACCAAATGTGTCGTGTGAGTCAGAAAGATTAGCTGAAACTTACCCTGAAGCTTTTCCAGCTTGCGCTGTCACACGCGCTCAGTCACGCAGAGTGGGTGATGTAGTAGATCTGTCTAGCTCCTTCATGTTTCCACTTTTGACTGGAGACACGTTATCGGGTGTGAATCGGGAACAAGAAAATAGTTCAGACTCGGGGACAGAAAACAAAAGTGTGGTTGAGGTTGATGCAGAGTTACTAAAGTTACCTGTATCTCTTGAAAAAATTATCACTGCACAAAAGGAGGATAAAACACTCGTTAAAACGTTTAAGGCTGTTGTATCTATGGATGTTGTCAAAGACAGGAAAAGTGCTTACTTCATTGAGAATGAACTACTGATGAGGAAATGGTGCTCTCATGTTGATGAAAGCTTAGACTGGAATGTTGTTTATCAAATTGTGGTTCCGTCTCCTTATCGTCAACATGTCTTGTTTCTAGCTCATGATCACCAGCTTTCTGGTCATTTAGGAGTTACCAAGACCTATAACAGAATTTTGAGTCATTTCTTTTGGCCAGGATTAAAGAAAGATGTTGTCCAGTACTGCCGTACCTGTCACACTTGTCAGATTGTGGGAAAACCAAATCAGAGTGTACCACTTGCTCCTTTGATGCCTATACCAGCAATCGGAGAACCATCTGAACATGTGCTTGTTGACTGTGTCGGTCCATTACTTAAGACTAAGAATGGTAATCAGTTTCTGTTAACTATCATGTGTATGAATACCAGGTTTCCAGAGGCGATTCCTTTGAGGAAGATCACGGCACCTGTGGTCAGCAAAGCGTTAGTGAAATTCTTTTCCACATTCGGCTTACCGAAGGTAGTGCAAACGGATCAAGGTACAAACTATCTATCGAAACTGTTTAAGCAAGTACTTGAGTCATTAGAAATTTCTCATAGAGTTTCGAGTGTATATCATCCGCAAAGCCAGGGCGCATTGGAACGTTTCCACCAAACTCTGAAGTCAATGCTGAAGAAATATTGTCATGATACTGCTAAAGAATGGGATGAGGGAGTTCCTTTGGTTTTGTTTGCTGTTCGAGAGACTATTCAAGAATCTCTGGGGTTTAGTCCAGCCGAACTTGTGTTTGGACACAAAGTTAGAGGTCCATTGAGAGTTCTTAAAGAACGAGTTTTAGCACCTGACTCAAATAAAAACCTCAATATACTAGATTATGTAAGCAAGTTTCGCGATCGCCTTCATGCTGCTTCGTCGTTCGCTCGAGAATCTCTTGCAGATGCTCAGAAAGGTATGAAGAGTACATACGATAAAAACTCAGTAGAGCGATCTTTTCAATCTGGAGACCAAGTACTTGTGTTGTTACCTGTTCCAGGGTCATCGTTATCTGCTTGTTT